GAACATTGACCGACAAAAAAAATCGGTGTATAGACAAACAAGATAAATCAGTTTGGTTCGCTGCAAAGAAGAATGAAAACATGAGTGAAACGAGTTGTGACAGAATTATTTGTTTTTTTTTATTAGAAAACATAATTTTAATATAATACCTCAGTATAGTTGAGAATACAGACATATTTAGTTACAAACGTAAATTTGAAAATTTATGTATGGTATTAATCCAATTATTTTACACGGTACTTTCTTTAAACGTTCTCGATTTTACAGGGTTAAATAAAAATGAATTATCGATTGACATGGTTTCACATTCAAAAAGTTACAATTTCGATTTACACGTTATTCTAACGTCTAAATGTGCATAGAAAGTACTGTGTAAAACGAGGGATTGGTTATTTTCAACATTTATTTTTTGTTTTTTTTTTAATCGTGTAAAAGCGAAAACGTGTAAAGAAAGTAGCGTATAGAGGGAGCCATAGGTGTATTACGAGTATGTAAACACTTTGTTTTTCAAAGCTTCAAAACGTTTATTCAAGTTTAATTATGATTGAAGGCTAAAGGACAAACGATACAATAGTAATAAAAACAAAAATGTGTTATTTCCACTTGTATTAAATATTGTAAGAATATTATTTAACGAATTTTTGGTCTTAATTTTTTTCTTTTTTGGTATTTCGTAAGTGAATATTCCTATTAATCCAATTAGCTTAGATTAATTTATAATTGGCGCTGTATAAAAGTTGATTCGCAACTACTTGATAGTTAAATGCAAGATAAATCCGGCAGCTATAGTTTCGAGATCTCCAGCGATTGCATGAATGTGCGAGGTGAGGTGGTAGTTAGTTCTACAGAGACATCGAGTGGTTGCAGACGAACGTGATCCAGCATTAACAAGACACCACCCAGTACATCCAATTCCATCAAGCTCATCCATGGTGCTCATCTGGTAATTAGGTTTGATTTAAATAGAAACCAGATGGCGGCGGAGTAGGCGAAGTGTTTTCGCTGCTGCATTCGAGGATAGGATGATGATTAAATGAAATTAATGTTTAATGCAATAATACTAATAATAATGATGATACTCGTTGC